GGGATCATACCACTCCCTTGCTTAAAACTCCTAACAGTGGCTCACTGCACACAGAACATACTCCGGGGTCACCAGGCCCAGGACAGGTGCCCAATCTCTGCACCATCCGTGCTCCGGCCACTCCAGGCTTGCTCACATGACAAGCTTGCTCCCATCTCGGAACCTCTGCCCAAGGGTTTTTCTGTGGTTTTTGCGTGGCCAGCATGTTCGTGACATGCAGGTGCCAGCTCAAATGGCGGTCCTCCATTATTGTCCTAACATCCTATTTACATTCCCAGCCTAGAGCTCATCACTCCCTGACACTCCTGGTTTATGTATTTGTGTACTTGGTTATTTTCTCCTTGACTCTTACTTGTGTGGAACCTCCCCGAGAGCCAGGATCCCTCCTGGCTTGTTCACCTTTGCATCCCCAGTGCCTGGCGCATCATGACTGCTCAGTAAGTGAATACATTATGATTGCCTCAGACAGCCACTGGCTTTTCCTATGCATAGAAGACCTCAATGCCAAAGCTATTCAAGAACACGGGGACCGGAGCAGGGCAAGGAACGCCCAACACCTGCAATCAAAGACTTCCTCCAGATGATTAGCACTTTACAATAACCATGACTGGAAACTGATTGCGCCAGGACAGGCTAAAGACATGCCTTTCGCCACCAGCGCTCGCGAGGACCCTATAGGAATCCGTTTTATGGATGTGGACATGGAGGCTTTGAGTAGGTAAGTTGCTAATTTAAGGTCACACCATGATCAAGCCGTGGAGCGAGGGAATTATCAAGCTGTGAAACCAGTACGGGAATCCAGTTTACCCAGAGCCCCTCACCGCAGAAGCAAACTGCTTCCCGTGCTGGTTATAAAGAGGGCACCCAAACACGCGGCCACATGAACTGCATTACTGCACTGGCCTTGAACTCATTTGTTCATCATTCACTCGTGGATTTGCTCAGTACGTACTGACTGATCACTTACTCTGTCCAAGTGCTATTCTCGACTCTGGGGATTGATTTAGCAGTAAACAAAAAAGCCCCACTTCCTGGCCTCTGTGGAGGCCCCATGTTTTTGGTGGGGGGAGCTGGGGATTTATGAGCGACACTGTAAGCACCTAGTCAGTCAGCAATCCCTGAGTATGCACCTGCTGAGTACCAGGTCCTGTGCTGGGCCTGCAGATGGCAGAGTGCATAAGATCACGACCCGGCCCTCATGGGGGAGGGGGACTCGGGAACAAGGAATTGTGTCCTGATGTGACAGAGGCCACAGCAGAGGGTGAGCTGGGGTCCAGGGCCTGGAGGGAGGATAGGAAGCAAGCGAGCGTAGCCTGCAGAGAGTGTGGGTTAGTGGGCTCCAGGCATCCATGCTTCTCTTTTTAAGGGCTCGTGAACCTCCACTGTCACAGTGTATCTCAACTCGAGCTGGGGTCTCTCAGGGCACCTCTTCACCAGCTTGGCTCTTTCACCCGTCCCTGGGCTGATGGCAACTTTCACACTGTCCAGAATCCCACAAAGGGGAATATTCACCCCTCTAGGTGGTCAGCCCATCAGCACTGTCCATGCCATAGAACATCTCCAGCTTTTACTTTGGCATTCAGGGCCCTGTCCACATCTGGGGCCCCATGGCCCGCTGCTCCTCTCTTTAGGGCCACAAGGGACATGCGCCTAACACTCTGGCCCAACACAGGCCATTCTCAGTCCTAGGGCCCTCCCCTACCTTATGCTTGGTGAACTCCTATTCATCCCTCAAAGCCCTAGACAGAGCCATCTGTGGTGTGAGGCCTCCCTGCACACCCATAACAGAGCCAATCAATCCTCCTTCTGGGCCAGCCTTGCATCTGATACACATTGTAATCTATGCTCACAGGTCAACTTTCCCTTCTACACTGCTACATCTCTGGAGGGTTCTAACTTAGTGTTGGTTCATGGAAAACACTCCAAAGAAAAAATGTCCATTGAATTAAACTGACAAGGGTCCACCGTGCTTCCCAGAACCCTGGGAGGGATTTCTTTCAGTCCAGAAACCTTGAGTTTTTTAGAGCAGTCAGGCGCTCTGACACTTTCTCCCCTCATCCTTGGCTTTGGTTTCCTCTTAAGTTGGGCCCACCCCTTTCAGCTGTAACTCTGTTCTGTGTGACAGGTGAGAGGAAAGCATGGCTCTAAGTGGATCACTTTCAACACAGCCCAATCCTGCTCGATCCCTCACATATCCCATGTCTCCGGCCCAACTTGCCAGTAGACAGGGCAGCCCTGTCCCAACACTGACCTCAACTATGCATGAATAGGACAGCCTGTCACACTCCGGTGTCTAGGGACTTCATTTCCTGGTCTCTCCTCACTGCTCTATGCTGCCTTTCCTTGGAAGGATAATTACAACAGTGATGGTGTTTTATTGAGCACCTACTACCTACTGTGATGTTTATCTATTTAAGACTCATGGCAGCCCTACAGGATGTATATACACCCTTTTGACGGAGAGTACACTGAGGATCAGAGAGATCTGGGCTCTAGACCAGGGTCACAAGTGGCCAAGCTGGGATATGAGGCTGGGCTCCCACTGCCTCCCTGTGCTATCTACACTCTTCCCCTCACCGCACCCCACCTCCTGCATGGGGCTGCTCCCCAGACTCCCACTCCATCTGCTGCCCTGAGAGCGTCCCGAGGACTTTGGTGCCACCACCCTGACGGGACTTGGCAGCAGAAGGCTACAGGCCCATGTGGGGTAGACCTCCCGCCCCTGGTCTCTGCCTGGGCACTTTGCCAGGGGCTGGTGCCACTGCTGGGCACAGAAGAGGTGTTCTCGCATGCATTAGTTCATCTACTTCTCAGGACAAGCCTAGGAAAAACCCATTATTATTCCCATTTCATAGATGAGGAAAATGAGGCACAGGGAGCTTAGGTAAGCAGGCCGACACGATCTTGCTGGCAAGCGGCAGAGCCTACATCTGACCTCGGGCAGGCCAGCCCCAGGGTCTACCTGCACGCCTACCCGCCGCATGGCGCCCAGCGCAGCTGGTGCTGAATATATAATCTCCCTTCCCGCCCCTCTGGAGGTCCAACCATAGTGGACATTATTTGTAGGGCTTGGCTGTCAAGCCAAGAGCTGTCATCTGAATAGACAGCTCAGGTGAGTGTTCTCGACGGGGTAAGGCCGTGGCGCGTGCCTTGGGCCCTAGAGATCCACAAGAGACGTGCTGTGAGGTGCTGCCATCAGCCATCTCTGCTGGTGCCTACTCTGAGGCCCAGAGCAGTTAAGCAATGTGTCCGGGGTCACACAGCCGCCAAGTGGCAGGGCTGGGATACGAATTTAGACAGCTCAGTCTTGAGCACCATGCTAAACCGGCTCTCGGTCCATGCTACGCCCAAGATAGACGTTACCTGACTGGGCCGGCAGCCCCTCTGTGTGCAGGGCTCTGTCCGGGGACTGGGAGGTGGCTCCTAGTGGGGAGGTGCATATTCACAGAGAACGGCCCCCCAGAGCCGCGCGTTTAAGCTCACTTCCCCAGGGTTTGGTGGAAGGGGGCGAAGTACAGGGAAGGCTTCGTGAAGGAGGGGTGTGTGAGGTGGGCCTTAGAGCTGGCTCAGGGTCCCACAGGCAGGGTGAGGCCCTCGCACAGGGGTGGATGTGCCTGTGGACTTCTTTCCCAGCTGTTCTGCTACAGGCGGGTCATGAGAAACGGCACCAGCAGAATGAGAGCGGCGTGGGTGGGAGCGGGTCTTACTTTTATTGTGGGTGTAGAACTTGTCCTCAGAACCGTCCTTGGACTTCTTAATTATCAGTTTCCCAGACTCAACATCGACTTTGAGCTGCAGTTTCTGAGGAATCCCCAGAGACTCTGACTTCACCTGGGAGGAGGAGGGGGGGAGGGGAGATGTGGTCATGCTCTCTCTGTGTGGGCTCTGGGGGCCAGCCCAAGAGCCCCTTGTCTGTGGGGCTGGGCGGCCCCTGGCCATTCCAGCCCTGGTGTCCCAGGTGGTGCCATCGGGCTTCAATCTCAGAGCTTCCCTCGCCCCGGAGGCCCAAGTCCACGTTTCCACGGGCAGCCCCCCGAGAACCGCTCAGATGTGCGAAAGACCCCGGCTGTGCCTCGTGTGCCCATCAGCTGTCCTGTCAACAGGTTTGGTGGAGGGAACAGGTGAACAACTGGAAAACGGCTCACTTACACCTTAATCTGACAACACTTATTAATCTGTTGTGCCATCTACTCCCAGAAAGGATGTTAAGAACAGATTTCGGCTCCTGGGCCTTGTTACAACAGTTGAAGGTTTATTTACTGGCAATAATTAGGAAAAAGACAATTGCCTAGGCATGCTCAGAAGCTGGAGATATAAATACAGAATTATCATCAGGGCCAGAAAGGCCTTTGCGTGGGGGGCATCTTGTCCTGTGTTTTTCTGAATGTGGGACCAGGGCTGGGCTGGCTGCACCAGGATCTCTGCGGATCATCAAGAAAAACAAATTTCTGGGTCTGAGCTTAGAGGTTCTAACTCAGTCCCTCTTAGGGAAATCACGGGAATTACATATTTTTCCTACTTCTCCCCTGAGGTACTACTTTGCAGCCAGCTTCTGGGGAGGGGAATCCGGGGACCCCTGTTTGATGTCACTCGCTGCACCCGTTCGGAGAAGGACACAGTGTACAGCATCTGGGGAGCCCCCCCTGAAGGACTTTCCACAGACCTGTCGGGGTGTCCATTCTAACGTTACCATCTCCACAGGTGGTTCTGCCAACCACCACCCTCAGTGTTGGGTTCCTTGCCCTCGTACAGCTGAGCCAAAAGCTGGCTTTCCAGAGGGACCAACCGCGGAACACAAGGGCACAGCCTCTTACCTCAAAGGTGACCGGAGGGATGAGGGAGCGCCGGTGGGGAGACTCGGCGCCTTCATGCAGCAAGGCCTTGACCTGTGGGCATAAATGCACGAGGCCCTTCAGGGGGGAGAGGTGCAAGGAAGGCAGCCTCCTTTGGGGACAGGGTCAAAGGAAGCCTAGAGCCTGCACACCCGGGCATACTCTAAGCAAAGAGAGAGGACCACAGAGAAGCCAGGAGAAGCTGCAGGATCCCCCAGTACCTTGTCTTCAATGGAGGACAGTAGACTTGTCAGTTGGCTGAGCTTGGCCACCATGTTGATTGGATTGGCCTCACCAGGCACCTGAGGAAAAGAGTAAGTAAGGACAGTAGTCCCAGAGTGTCAGCCATGGAGAGGGGTTCCACTGGGCCCTTTCCACCCTCCGTCTCATTTCACCTCCTCAGTACTATGATTAACCCCCTTTGCAAACAAGAAAATCAGAGCTTTCTATAATCACCTCAAGATTATCATGGCCCAAAAGTAAACCTTCATTCCGTCTCGCCTCTCAAATCTGCTTCTCCAACTGCTTCGTACCTCATCCACTCAGCTGCTTCGACAAAATTCTGGGATTGTGCTCCCCCTACCTCTATTCCGGGGCTGTTCCTCATGCTTCCAAAATATGGCCCATCTTACTGCTGGAAACCCACTACTGGGAGAAAATTATCCAGACTCCTTACCCTGCCCTCCAGGACTCTGTATACTGACCCCTCCTCCCCAGCCACCCCCATCCTCACCTCCGACCTGCCTGCGGCCTTGAGCTACACTCCCTGAGAGATTCCCAGAGACATGGAGGTCACCCGGGGAGGCCTGCCCATTACTCGGGTCTCAGATCCACAAAGAGGTGCTCCCGGACCATGCTAGCTAAAGTAGTCACCGGGGCATGTCTATCAAACCATCCTGCTTTGTTCCTCATCAATCACCTTGGTCATGTATTTGTTCATTGTGTCCTCCCTGCTAGAACGTGAGCTCTGTAAGAACTGGGACCGTGAGGACGGTGTTCAGTGCTGTGACCTGGGTGCTTGGAATAGCGCCTGGCCAACAAGGTGCTCAGTCAAGTTCAACCCACACAGGAGGAGGCCCAGGGAGCTGAAGTTACTTGTCTGAAGTCACACAGCTAGTGAATGCCAGAGAACATGAATCCGTGCCCGTCTTGAGACCCAGTCCACAGTCTCAAGCGTTTATTCCCAGAACCAGCATCTCCAAAGCATCTATCTACTCTGTGCCAGATGTGTGGTCACACGTGTGGAATTAATGATACCATCCCTGCCCTTCAGAAGTTGGATGATAAAATCAGACAAGTGTATGGAATGGAATGAGGTCTCGGCCAACCAGGTGAAGTCCCTTTACCCCACCCCTTGCTTAGTAAGTCGGCCAGGCTACACTTGCTTTCGACCTCAAATTTCCGCCCCCTCCCCCGCCACTTGAAGGGACTTCTGGTACCAGCACCACCAGCCACCACCCATCACACCCCCCACAACCATCCTCGCTTTATCAACACTTCAAACACATCACTTTTGTCAACATTTTCTCTGATTATTTTGGTTTTGCCCTGCTCCTTAACAAAGCTCACAATCAGCCCGTGCTTATCATCAATGAGGGAGAAAGCCTCAAGGTCTGGGAAGAACCCGAGGTATGGAGGGCAGGGTGGGGGTGGGGCAGACCGGCTGCTCAGCGGTGGGGCAATTCGGGATCCCTTTGCTTTGGGTGGTTTTTCTCATAAAGAATAGAAAAGATCAGATTCAACCTCTTGTCCGTCTCAGACACTTGGGATTAATGGCCTGCCTGCTACCTTGCAGTTCGAGGCCGTCCCTTCTTTCAATCTGTGTCTTACGAGGCAGGTCTGGCAAAAACTTACCAAGTGTAAATGAAGTTATTGACAAACGGGGAGTTTGTTCTTGGAACCAAAGGTGTTAGCACCATCCTGGAGCTTTGCCTGCACTTCTGCCTCCCAGCAGGCAGAACAAACAGAACGGGATGAGTTCTTCCATGATGCCAAGCACGTTTTAAATGCATCCATTCATCTAATCCCTGCATGAACAGATCCTTCTAACCCTTGTTTTGCCGAGGGGAAATGGAGTCAGAGTGGTGAGTCAGCGTGTCCAAGGTGACACAGCGAGTGTAGACCTCAGACTTGAATGTAGATCTAGCCCCGTGGTTCTCAGCTGATGGCGATTTTGCCTGCCAAAGGGCATTGGACAACGTCTGGAGACATTGTGGGTTGTCACAACTGGGGGGATGCTGGTGGCATCTAGCCAGTAGAAACAAAGAGGTTTTAACGTCCTATGATGCACAGGGCAGTCCCCCACAACTAAGAATAATTTGGCCCCAAACATCACTCACGTCAAGGCTAAGGGTAGAATTCACAGCTTAGCCTAGAAGCGAGCAGATTGGCCTGAGTGACACCTGTGAGTTCCCATAAACGGGCCCAGTTATTTTACTCTGCTTTGTAGTTGCCCTTTTAAAGGGAGGATGTGGGTTCTAAGGTTAACGACTCTCCTTTCTCATATGGGGCAGAGCCAGGTCTCTCCCAGCCCTTGAGGTCCGCAGTTATTTTTAATAACGTTGCATTTTGCACCTCCCATCAGTTCTCAAATAAAGTCCACGCGGGAGCCCAGGGGTCCCCAGCCTGTGTCACCGACCCAAGGGGAAGGGCCACACGTCAGCCGAGCACGGCCTTCCGATGTCTCACACAGGCGATTTCACTTACTCCTTCACAGAACCCTGCAGTGGCAGACACGCTCTGCCCATTTCACAGATGGGGAAAACAAGGACCGGTGGGGGCGGGTCGGATACTGGGCTCTGCTGTTTCTGATCTACCCTGCCACTTTCTCCTCGATCTGTGAATTTCTGAAGGCATCAAGAATGACCTCTCTGCGTTTTCTTGATGAGTCGGGGTCTCGTAAGGGAGAGTGGAAGGAGAACCGTTTCTCTCCATCCACGTCTGATGCCACCCTCCCTCTGGTCCCTGCTCTGTCCTGTCACTGAACATAAACACCAGCTGGCCGGTCACACCCGCTGGCTCATTAGCTGGGTAGGCTGGTCGGGTAGGTCAGTGGGCTTAACTCTCTGGGGGCCTCGCCCTCTTCTGGTCGATTTCAAAGATGTGGGTGTATGGTCTTCTGTTCAAACTATTTCAATGTTAGTGTCTGGCAGGGCCCCTGATTTGCCTAGATTTGCTTTTACTTTCCCAGAAATTAACATCTCATGGTTCACTTCAAGGAAAGCAAAATTACCTTTTTAATTTCTGGGCAAATTTTTAAGTTGTACAAATAGCACACAGACATTTTCTCAGTTAAAAACAACAACAACAACAACAAAAAACAACTCGAGCAAACAGTCTGGTCAAGCCTGAAGTGCTCCTTGGCCTAGCCCCTTCTCCCTCGTCCCATCCCCCCACATGGTGACCAGAGTAGCCCTCTGGGTTTAAATCCTTCTGGTCTGATTTGCACACGTATATCATCACTTAGAGATTGTTCTGCCATTTGCTTTTTTCCGCCCAACAGTATGCCTTGGGGAATCTGTCCACATCAGTGTACCCACCTTAGAACAGAATTCTGTGGCATACTTTAACCGACTCTACGTTTGGGTGGTTTCCAATGTTTCTTGTTTTTAGAGATAAAGCCACAATAAACAATAAACATCTCTATCCCTAAGACAGATGCCTACATATAGAAGGATGTGTGCATTTAACATTGTCATTGCAGGTGGACAAAGGGCCATTCAGAAAACCCGTTTTTCTTTCCTCTCCCAGCCGCGGAGCAAAGGAGTGAACCTATCTATGTGAGTCCCTGACCCCAAAACCCGAGCCAAGCCCTGATTTGACCAACCAGCTTTTTGCCCATCTGACAGGCAAGAGATCTCCCCGCCATGGCTGTCGTTTCCCAGTTACTAACGAGGTAAGGTTAAACTTCTTTTCATACATATAGTGGTCATTCCCATCCCTCCCCAGTGAGACAGACTTTCTTTATAACCTCTCCGCATTTTAAAACTTGGATTGTTTTTCCTTAATTATTTGGAGGAGGTTTGTTGTTGTTAACATATTAATCCTTTGTCCCTTATGTTTGTTGCAAGTACTTTCTCTGGAGATACTGCTTTTGCTTTTTACCTTTGCTGGTGATACCTTTCAATACACACACCTTTCCTCAGTGGGTGACCTGCCTTGGCCCCTGACAGACTGTGAGCCAGTGGGGGGGTGTGGGGGGGCAGGGAGCACCTTCACCCTGCTCTTTTTGGGGCAAGAGGTGGCATCAAGCATTTAGGCATGCCACGTTCTTCTTTCCAATAGTTTCCGGTGAGCTGTGATTTCAAAAAAAGGCCGTGCCTTGCTTCCTTATTCAGCACTAATTAGTTCTGCTGATGGGTGCGTAATTTGAAATCCCTATTCCTTAAACCAAAATCAGGCAGCGGGGGAAATGCCTTACTGGAGGAACAGAGTCCTGAGGCTCCCACCCCGATCCCGTGCTCTGGTGGTCTAGCCAACTCCGGGCAGGAGTGGGTGGCGGGCTCCCTTCTGAGCCCTCGGGACGCCCGCTACCTTACCCCCCACCCCGGTTGATCAGTCTCATCCTTCCAACCCCAAAGCCTTTACCTGAGGCCGTGGACGGAGGCCAGGAGAGAGCTGCTGGTCAAACAACCTTTGCAGAGACTCCAGGGAGGGGAGGGTCCGGAGGACTTCGCTGGGAGCAGGGGACAAGGTGAAGGTCAAGGGTTAGTGAGGACCCAGATGAGGCATCGCAGGCTTTAGCTTGAGGCACGGTCACACACGATCTGGCAAAGGCAGAGATCCTCCCGAGAAGGACAAGCCCGGGCAAAGATCCAGGCCTGTCAGTGCTGGCCCACCCCCCACCCCTCGGGAACCCCACTTCTTCCTGTCCCCCACCCCGGACCGAACTGGAGTCGTGATGCATAGACCCAATTTACCTCTGGTTAGCCAGACTCGTAGCCTGCAGATAAGTGGAACCTAGAATCACCAAACTACTTTGAAATCACTGAGTAAGTCATGGCTCCCAACCTCTAGTGTTAAGAAGCGCAAACACACCGGAGTGTTAAAAATGCAAATTTCTGGGCCCCAACCAGATTTGGTCTGGAATCTGCATTTTAAATGCATGCCCCAGGGGCTTCCTGTGCTGGCGGTTTGAGCATTCTGGTTCAAATCCCCCCCTCGCTGCTGAGGTGGACGCCT